ATTGTGGGATATTGCTATTTTAACTCCGACCTCAGAGTAAAAAAATTTAAAGCTAAAAATCCAATATTTAAATTTATCTCCATGTGAAACCGACAATTTCCATTGACTTGGACGATTGAGACTGTAGCAGTTTCTAATGGAAAATCTCCAACTCAGGTAATATGCACACACCTAGCTGATTGTCCCTGAAGAGGAGAAGCCCTTCGTAGTAGAACCAGTAGTAGAACCTATGCCAATCTCTTTAGTGTTCAACTCCTACCCCGTCCCTTCCTCTCTTTTTGTTATGAGCAAACATAGAGTTGTGTTGAGCGATTTCCAAGAAGTGCCCTATCGGGCTCTTGGGCTCTTGGACTCTTGGGTTCTTGGGTTCTTGGGTTCTTGGGTTCTTGGGTTCTTGGGCTCTCGATCCACCTCCACTGGCTTCAGCATCTATCAGCCCGACAAAACCTCACTCACATGGCCCTGTACCCGACACACAAAAACAGTCTGTCTTTATGTGGCTACAAACGGCCATGAGAATTGACTACCTGAGGTTATATGTGCCTCATCTTGTTTGTTTCGTCCCCGGAAGGCGATGAATTCCTTCTACCTCTATGCCGGTTAACTATCCTCATTGGTCAATTCCAAAGCTAGCTAATCCCATCGAGTATCGTCCTTCGATAATCAACGATCAAACTGTGGAGGTAGTCTTTCTGGAAAAAGGGATTCTGGTCTTAACGGTTCACGGCAGGTAAAATCCCGGAAATCGGCGTTTTCAGCTTCAAAGATCCGACCATTGTCATTTTTCGGACAAAGGAGATTTAGCGAGTTCAAGTATTTCCTCATTTCGTTAAATCGTTGAGTGAAAACTGGAGAAAAATTTCATGAAACATAAAGGCTTTTGCGATTCTCCATCGACTTGCATGCGTAAAAATGGCGCCTTCGAGCAAACCTCCATTTTTGAAAATCATGTCGGATTTGATTTGCATACCCAACTCTCCCATATTCCAATTCAAATCCCATAATTTCTCTTCTTCGAGTGGTTTAACCGTAACTTCATCCGACAGATATTCTCAATTGTGTGTCCATTTATTTCGAGTGTAATTTTTTTGAAATATTTTTCACCGTCTAGAGTATAGCCGTCTTCTATGTCAAGATTAAAGAGATTGACGCAAATACAAAAGGAATTTTCATGTCTCAGCTTTCACTGACTTTTCAGTAGAGACACTATTCTCCTCTTCCACATTCAACACGTGGCTCTTCGCCTCACTTTATCCTCGCCATTTTTTCCAACATTTGAATCCATTGTGCTCATTAAAACTAGTAATTGCTATTTTCATAGCGATTTACGTGGCTTGAAAAAAAAACGCGGTTTTTCCATCCCACATTGTTTCTCTTTTTGTTGTGACATGTTGGCACTGGTATATTTTTGTGAATTACCAGTGAGATAAATGAATAATGCACCTAGCGTTGTGTCGTTGGCCTTCTTGGATGTGTCTCTGACATTGGAGACATTCTCGGAAAAACTCTTGTTAAAAGTTCAAGAGGAGAATTTCAGCTGCGCGTGACAGTTTCCATTGGAGACCGTACGGCTCGCAGAGGTTCCTTATGGCCTCATATATTGTTATAAATAATGAGCTCTGGGCCGGTAGAAATACTTTGCGTTAACTTTTCAATTTTTAATGGTAAAATTAAAAGACATCCCAAAGATGCCACTCAATGGTACAGAAAAAACACTGAAACCCCCTGGAGCCCCTTTGACGAGCCAAAGGAACTCGCCGAGTCTTCACCCTTCCTCATCTTCTCTTTCATTCTTTTTCGGGAGTCTTTACCCCCGGATGAACACATTCAAGGTGACTCTGGGCCAATTACACGCCCCTCGATTGCTCAAGTATGTAGGAGCCATTCTTTCATCCGTTTCTTTGACTTTTTTCACTTTTTACTTACACTCCCTTAAACTGCACTGGCACTTCTGTTATGGCAATTGAACAGAGTATTGTCAAGACCAATTCATCATGATATTTTGTTGGTTAGTGAATGAACATTATTAGAAATGGCTAAATCATTGATTTTGGAAGGATATGAATAGAGTATGAAAAATAATAAGGAATTCTGTAATGCTTACAAGGGAAAGACGCAACGAGTTCCTCTGAGTATTGATTAGTTAGTACAGTAGCTGTGTGCGGGCAAAGGAAGGGTAGAGGTGCAGAGCGTGGGGAATGAGCTTTTGAGGAGGAGAACATGTAGGGAAAGGAAGGTGGCACGAGGATCCAAGTCACCAAGTGAACTCACAAAGTCTCCCCTCGTACAAAGTACTCTCATTTAACCACCAATTACTCACTCATCACAGTGACTCAACAAATCCATGATTTTTCCAAAGACTGATGTATCAACTGCTAAATGAGTCTTGCCTGCTTGCGTTGCAATTAGTTTGAACTCAATAGTATAATATCTACCGAAAGATATCGAGAGAGAAAAAGAGAATGGAGAAAAATAGCGGGTGTGGCCTCGACTTTATGACGCACTGATGTCTCGATGATGATCCCACGAGGAGAGCAAACTAGATGTAGAGAAAACAAGAGCGAGAAAGAGTTGAAGTGGAGATGTGGACCCGAGTTCCACGAAAAGCATTGAGAGAATGGTGAACGGACTCCGAAGGCAAGGGCAAAGAGGGGAGGAGGAAAGAGTGAAACGGTCAAATTATTTATGGCGATGCGAAATTAAGAGTCTCGTTTTGGTTTGAGTAGGGCCCCACGTACCATCAGACCGCCCTCGCGACCCAATGATTTTGAATCCTTGGCTCTTTACGGTAGTCCCTCATGCCAAAAACCAAAACATATATGAGAAATTCTGTGGGAAACGGCGAGTTGTTTGCGGGATCCTTTAGCTTATCAAGAAATCTCCAAAGAAGCGTTTTTTTTTTGCTTTTATTTTACGGCGAATTTGCGGTCAATTAATAGTCGTGCGATTTATTGCCAAGGGCAATAATGGGCAA